ATTAATTTATAGATATCAATGATTTGGATGATCTGTATGTAAAAGCACTTGATGATACAAAAATACATTAAACAAAACAAAATTTAATTCTTCCAGACATGAAAAATAAATCCTGCAAGAGATGAAAAATTTTAGAAATGTCAAAAGAGGGTCTCATATTACATTTATAACCCCACAATTATTTCAATAAAAATAAACAAACAGAACTCGCTGATGAGAACTCACCCATCAGATATGAATGGCCTTGTCGTAAGTCGCCATGGCCGCCTCCTTCACCGCCTCGCTCATCGTCGGATGTGCGTGGCACGTGCGAGCGATATCCTCGCTCGAAGCTCCGTACTGCAACGCCAGCACCGCCTCATGGATGAGCTCGCCGGCGTTCGGCGCCATTATGTGCACTCCCAGGATCTTATCAGTCTCCTTCTCGGCGATGATCTTGACGATACCCTCCGCATCGTCGATGGCCTTCGCCCTGCTGTTCGCCATGAAAGGGAACTTGCCGACACGGTAATCTGCTCCGGCGGCCTTAACCTGCTCCTCCGTCTTCCCGACATAAGCCACCTCTGGATGAGTGTAGACAACTCCAGGCACCAGATCGTAATCTACGTGACCTTCTTTTCCGGCGATGAATTCCACACAGGCGACACCGTCTTCTTCGGCCTTATGCGCGAGCATAGGTCCCGGAATCGCGTCGCCGATCGCGTAGATTCCCGGAACACTCGTCGTGAACTTGTGATCGACGATGATCCTGCCAGATTTGTCGGTCTGTATGCCGATTCTTTCCAGGCCAAGCCCTTCGGTAAAAGGGATTCTGCCAGCAGAGACGAGAACTACATCGGCTTCGATCGTGTGTTTCTCGCCGCCATCAGCTGCTTCGAGTTCGAGCTTGACACCATCTCCAGATGTATCAACCCCTAAAACCTTTGTTTTGAGAAGGAACTTCATCTTCTGCTTCTCGAGCATTCGTTGGAACTGCTTTCGAATCTCGCTATCCATGGTCGGCACAATGTCTGGCGCGAATTCGACGACGGTGACTTCGGATCCGAGACGCCCCCAAACGGATCCCATCTCGAGGCCGATGTAGCCGGCTCCAATCACAACAAGCTTCTTCGGGATGGTTTGGAGGGATAGGGCTCCGGTTGATGAGACGATCTTCTTCTCGTCGATGATGACTCCGGGGAGGGATTTGACGTCGGAGCCGGTGGCGATAATGATGTTCTTCCCTTTGATGGTGGTGGTGCTGCCGTCGAGGGTGTCGACGGAGACTTCGGAGGGGGAGGCGAGCTTTCCATGGCCTTTGATGTAGGCGACTTTGTTCTTCTTGAAGAGGCCTTCGATTCCGCGAGTGAGGCCGGATACGGCTTTGTCCTTCTGAGCCATCATGGCGGGAAGATCGACTTCAAGTTGGGAGAACTTGACGCCATGGTTGGCGAATGCGTGCTTCGCTTCGTGGTACAGATGAGATGAATGGAGGAGAGCCTGAAAATGGATTGTGGGGTATGTATGTAAATACTTTTTTTCTCATGCGTAAATTTCTCACACTGATGTGTATGTTACACAGTTATTGTTTCGTTCGTCAATGAGTTCGTGTTCGATTTGTTCGAAAAAGAAAAAGAGACAAACGTGAACAAATTTTTTCATTTGCATTCGTTCGTATTCGAATCGTTATTATTCGAAATAT